ACACTAGGTTGAAAAGCATATTCAAATAGAATGTATACCTGTGCAGGGACTCGGGAGCACTTTGACACACCAGCTCTTTAAGAAGATATGGACCAGAACCCTAATTTTCTCAGAAAGCCCCCACAGAGTGCATGCTAAGAGCAACCCAGGGCACCACACACGTTCTGCCCTCTCAGAGGACTCATGCAGGCAACCCTCTCTGCTCCCATGTAAGGAAGGATCAGGTGCCACAGCCTCCACACCTGCTCTTGCCAGCAGCCTTGCTGGATTAGGGATCAAGGCAGGAAGGAGCAGTAATGAGCTTCTGGCTGCCAACGAAGGCTCATTCCAGCTGCATACATGCCAAAAACTATTCCTCGCTCTACAGTTTGAGCCAAAGTGACATGAGAGTAAGGATGAGATCTCTGCCCAGAGAGACAATGACTGCCAGACACTAGCTGTGATTAATCCCAATGAATTTGGGGAGAGTCAGAGCCATATTCTAATCACACTACTGAACACTTTTCTTTTTGACAGCACGTAGGGAAGAGGTAGTAAGATCTGTGTTTGGGTAACTGTCTATTCACTCCACCTCAATTTGGAATTGCTGATGTTGCAGACATACTGCAGAAGCACAGCAACATGAGCTGACTCCAGTTTGGACATCAGTTTTGAAGTGCTCAGAACTATCAGCTACAGAGGAAACTAGTCTCTACCTTCATTATGGTGGTGGAGGTACTGGCAAAGGGGAACACACTCTCATTGTTGTCCAAAAATAGATGCTGGCATTTCCAGTCCTTCTTTTAAGGCTGTCTTACCTTGCAGGAAGGTAATGATTGAGTCATCCTTTCATCTTTCCAACACTACTGGAGAAGAAAAGAAGGGGAAAAAGTGATAGTGGAAAAAATAGATAGTCTGGCCATAAAATTGTTTGCTAAATAAAGTCAACTGTGCTACAAATCTCCAGTTACAATGAGAACTGGTATATAATACCAATATAAGAGAAAACAGATCACTGGAGAGTACTGTTAACAACTAATTTTCTGTCACTTCTGTAGGATGTTATACCAGTGCGCTGTTGAGCTAAGTCCAACAAAAATGTGTTAATACAATTTCAGCTTCTTAATTAGTACCGTCAACTTCTGCCTTTTGCTTCCCAAGACTTCCACTGCTGCAGCATGCCATTGTGCATGTGCTTTTTTGTGCCTGTAGGCAGTGGCATTCTAAGGTGGCAGCAGTCATTTGCTTTTATCATCTCTTGGCACCCAGACCAGACCAGAACAAGCCTAGAAAAAAAATCAGGCCCTCCCTTTGCTTGGGTACCAACAAGAGTGCCACTATTCAAGGAGGGAAAAAAAAAATGCCTGTAGCTATGTTAAAAGCTCTTGCCTTTATTAGTAGACATATTAATGTTTATCAACATGCTTTCAAGCTGTACTCAAATATTTTGCCAGTGGTTTGCAGTTGTTTGTAAAAGCTGCCTGTTCCAGAAGCTAGTGTGCAGTCCTGCAGTTCGAGATTTCTTCAGATTAATTTGAGTTAAAGCTCTTGCTCTCTAGTGCTGAGCAAATTCAGCTGTGTGGAATAAGGAAACCTACTACAGAGATGAACAAAGTTGACTTATGAGTAACTAAATATTGTTACTACTCCTCAGAAAGGCCAAGCACAATGAAGCCAAATAGTAGGAGGTAAGAGAACTAGATCATGCCTAAGATGCAATACATGTGAGATCAAGTTCATAACAAGTTATAGCCAAAGGCCTCCATCAAGTTCAGGAGATTGCTACCTACTTGTATAGGGTGTGCACTCTTCGTGCTAGAGGGAGCTGCGATAGTCAGGAGTGAGGACAGAACAGCAACTGGCCCAGGTTCTTGAGCCATTTTCCATTAAATCAGATCCATACAGTGATAGCAGCCAGACCTGAACATAAAGATCAGAGTAACAAGGGTAAGTAGTTCTGTGATTAAGGATACCAAGATCTGGCCTACTAGATTTAATACTTTAATCTGCTAAGTGTATCACTGCTCTAATCACAGTCACATGGAGTCTTTGAGTAGCTGAAGATTAGAGAGACAATTGATAATCCCAGCTGTGCCACACAGATGAAAGGTATCAGGTGGACTTGCAGAGGAAATAAGGTATATAGAAACTCATTATTTTCCTACTGAGACAAAAATATCTCTTAGCATACGACAGAGAGTACACTCCAGAAAATTGGAAGCAGATATTGAAAATGAGCAAATCCTGGCAGTCCTCATGCATATGTGATGAAACAGTTATTCATACACAATCCATCAAGCTCTGTCACTAAAGAAGAATACTGCTCCTGATGGTATTTGTAGGTCTGTGTGCCCTAGATGACATTGCTCTGCAGCGTTAGAAAATGCAATTCTCGAATCCATGCTTTCACTGCAGTCAATACAAATTTTAGGCAGAAAAGTGTTGATTTAAGTTCACACACACAAAAACAATAGCAGCGCTCCTTTTTAAGCGTTACTTGAGACATTTCCACTGCAGCTGATACATTAATTATACCACATTTTTTATTCATTCTTTAAAGGCTCACTTGTAAAATTGTCTTGTGTGAGCAATTATAATAAACAACTGCTCTGGTTTGAAGTGCTTTCATTGCACCTGCTCTCTCCAGGCTATGGTATTTAATTGTTTTTGTTTATTCCATCCTACTCTTCTCTAGTGATTTGCTTGGCACCATGAAGAAGGTTACACCAATTACAGAGCGCTGTTTGTTCCCAACAGTTGGAGGCTGAAGACAAGCCTCCTTCTCCCTCACTACTGCTGCAGCCCACTTACAGCAGCTGGAGGGGAAGTGGGCAGCTGCTCAGCTGTGCTAAGAGGTCTGATTATCATCACCACAGGGAGGAAAAACAAACATAAAAAATCAACATACCTGCAGTTTGTCCTGAGTTCTGTGCCTGCATACTTCCATTTCAGAAGCATAGCCATATGTCTCCTCTTTGCTTCAGGAGCTTTTCAGAAAGCACAATGGGTTGGGAGTTCCTGTGTGTAGTTCCCATAACCAGGGATAAGGAAATGCTGACTAATAAGAGGTTTTGGCACTGAAACCGCTAACCATTAAGCACCTTCTTGCTAGGGTACAGTTAACATGTCTAGGCACTCCGTGCAAGGACAGGGAGAAGCCCCAGTTGGAACATCTGACTGGCCAGCCCACTGAGCTGGCAGATACTGTAGCCATCCACTGAGGGCTGTGACTGAGAGCTGCAGGGAAATGCCTCTGCCCTTCTGGGATGCATGATCCCATCGCTTGTCTCAAGAGGTGGGTCTGTCCACAGCCTGTTTCAACTGAATGGGTGCTGACTGCACTTCTTTTTGGATGCCAAGCAGAGGCAGTGGTATCTCCTACTCCGCAAGCACATGCTGTTTTTATTTCCTGTGTCCCGGGAAGCTATAAAACACTTAGGGTGAGGGTTGTCTCAAAGCACTTCTTTGTTCAAAAAATGAACAGAAAGAAAGGAAAATGCTTCAATTCTACCAGCATGAGGTAAAATTCCTGGTACCATGATCTGCCCTGCAACCACATTCTAGTTTTCCAACCTGTAAATTAAATGGAATTTTTATAAAGTAAAGTAATTACAAGGCTGAATCAAAAGATGCATATTTGGCATATCACTCTGTCAGGGAGTAGGGAGTGGGAATATCTTCAGAGTCCAACAGACACCTGGAACAGCTTCAAATTGTGATGAAAATAAAGATTATCTTTGAACCAGTAAACTTGTTATGGGGATGTCTCTACAGTGATAGCGCATCCTTATGGATTCCAACATACCTTTTACGTTGCCAGCACACAGAGTCAGAATGCAAACAATCGAACCAACGGAAAATATTTTCAAGATAACTGCTGGGCTTGCAGCAATGAAAGACATTTTCTGCACTAACATCAAAGGCTGTACCTCATCCCTTCACTCATGGACAGAGATAAGGGATCAGTATGCACATCTTTTCTGCACCCAGAAATAGCTGCGTATGGGTAATAAATAATCCCTTCTGCATAGGATATACCACCATTTTTGTGGATGTGGGAGGTATGGAAGAAAGATGTCATTTTGGCAGTGGCTGTTACAAAGACGTGCAAAGACACTTCAGCTGAGGTAGCTGGTCCCAGTTAATTGCCTGTTCATTCATAGATCTAAACATCGCTCTCAGAGAAAAGATGGGTGTGTGTGGGGGGGTGTCAGATGAAGGGTCACAACCTTCTTATCAGGTTAGGTAAAAGAAATGAGAATTCTGCCACCAGGGCAGGCTCAGATTGAGCAGGGAAGCTCAGCAGTCTCTGTTCTGCTGGCACAGAGCATAAAAATGGCCCAAGTATTTTGCTACTTGAGAACTACGCCTTCTAACAAGCCCTCTCCACAGGTTATTTGCAATTTTCTATAGTGAAAACTGGATGCATCTGAACCTCTTATAAAGCACTTAGTCCTCATTACTATTCTGAGCATTACTGAAAGTATCACTTCAGGAATGACTTCAGAGGACTGGACCTTGTAACCACAGCTGGCTAGGGCTGAACGGTCGCAGGCACAGAATCCTGCCAGCTGGGAGAGTGACAATTACCTCATACAATCCTATGGCTTCAAAAATTGACTTATTTCAGTGCAGTAATTTCAGACCTATATTGTTGTAACCGAACAGAAATTAGCTCATTAGCTAATAGCAAATACAATTCCCTCAGTGTTTGTTTCTATAGAGGAGTCTGACATGTACAGTTCACATGAGCCAGCTAGCTTCTGCATGAACTACTGTGGTGCACACAGCTTTACAGCAAATGTACGTTAAGTGGTGGAGGAAATATGAGGTATAAAAACTCTCTTTCATTCTTCCTTCGCTCCCTCTTCAGCTCAATGCTCAGGTCAAAAGAGTGGTACCAAGTATTCTCACAATTCTGCCAAAAAATGAATAAATCACTGGTATTGTGACCCACAGGGGTGTTCAATGCCTATGTCCAAGCATGCCCTGAAGTGTTAAGTTAGTACAAAGAGAGGATATTTTTATTGATAAACATTATATTGTCTTAGTGTAGATGTCTGACACATTATTAAATCAAATGACAAAACATTTAAAGTAATTCATTCTAATAAAACTTTTTGATATTCCATAGACAATAGTGCTGTGAATTTTGTTTATAGTATAACACATTAAAAACACAGAAATACAAGTTTCTAATTTCATAGGTTACCAGCAAACAGAGAAAAATGCATGCTTTAATTTCTGTTAAATTTGTAATTTACACAGGCAAGCAGAACAGCTATGCATAAAAGACTATTCTACAACAAGCTGTAAAACAAACATACAGAAAGACTGACCTTATAATACTCGTACAAGTATGACAAAACCATTGTAACTCATTTCAAAAGGTAACAAATGTTTTGTCTGTGGCTCCACCATGTTAACATTTCTAAGCTGACTTAACAAAAAGCTATTTTGAATAGAACTGTATTACTATAAACCACGGATTTTATTTTTTTTCCTGGCTGACTGTAAATAAACATATGCATTATGTGCATTCGCACTCAGTTCCACCTGCATTTTCTTCCTTATGGTCAGAAGTATCACACAATCTTTGCATTCGGATAACATTGTTTGATCCTGAATTGAACAAAAGGTGCTTGTATCAGTTGCTTTTTTTTTTTTGCTCTGCTTCCTGCAGCTTCACTGCACCATCAAGTAAAAAACTTATCATGCATGCAATTCAGCAAAATCTGTATGCTTTCATCACAGTTTGAAAAAGCCACAGTAGGGATTGCATTCAACTGTTTAAGACTCCAGTAATGTTACCAAACAAGTTTTCCACAAGAGCCCCAAGCTGTTAGCAGATCCCAAGTGGCTAGCTGCTGGGCCAGCAGATGCCTGAGCCCCACTGTGCCCACAGAGGGCCAAGAAGCACCAGGCCTGCCCGACTGCTGCACTGGCCACAGCAACACAGGACCATGGCCAAATCTTACTGAAGGATTCCAGGCACACACTACTTTGGCAGACAACAAACAAAAACAAACAAACAAAAAACACAAAACGACCACAACGAAAAACCAGAAACATCTTACTTCTTTTGCTTCAGTCTTGAAACCAAACATTTAATGTGAGGATGAACAGAATTTATCATTCTGCTAATCATCTTTTGCAAATACTGCCTGCATTAAGGGCCTAGTAATGAATCCCAGCTTTAAAAGGACTGGCAACAAAGACAATAGAACTGCTCCTCAAGGGAACATTAAACAAAATTCATTCCTAAATCTTCATTGCATGGCGAAGACCTAGTCCCTCTCTCAGGCATGTAGACTGCTACAGACATGTTTGCTCAAGTGTTTATGTAAGAGATAAAATGCACGCTCGTGAAGCTAGCATAAGAACTGAGTGAGAGACATTATTCCTGGTGTACCTCTCTCCCTGATAAAGGGATGCCATGTTTCTCACTGGGAAGAAACCCCTTTCATCAGGAGGACAGGAGTTGTAAAGATCAAATAGTATTCAGGTAAAGCACCACATAAAAGCAATCCCTGCAGAGCTTGCCAGCATCCCAGCTAAACAGCAACCAGCTGTTTGTGATGCCATAGTACTCTCGTTTGCACTTGCTCTCCCTGTGTGCAGTATAAATACGGATTCACGCTTGTGTCTTGTGCTTGTCATGTGTGTAAAAAAGTCCTAAGAACCAAGTTATTCCACAAACTTCCCGCTTTGGCTTCTTTCATGAACTCATCATATCGTAGTTTGAGTTCTCTGCTTGCTCAAACATTGTATAATTTTGTAACACAATTTTGAGATAAAGAAATGTATGTTACAATCAGACATTTTGATTCACCAGTGACACTACTGAAAGAAAAAGATTGTTTTCTGAAAATCCAGGAGGAAGAACTCATCTGAAGTCTGTCCTTGACAGTATGTGGAAGTTCACTTTATGCAAATCTTCACAAATATATGAATAATTATGAAAGATTTATGCAATACATTATGCAATCAGCCTTTATCTTCATTTAATTTTTTTTTTTTCCTAATCTGAGAAATCCCCAAGTCTTTAAGAGGTGCTGAAGTACAGGCTTCCAGCTTCTGCCCCTCCTCCAAGTAAATTTTTATCTGTAAAATGACACCATTGTTCTTTTATTTCCCAGCACTGAGCCCTACTGTAATTCACATTGACAACAATGACACGTGATATATTTTTCTACAGTGGAGATCTACTGACCTACCTGAAACCAAAGCAACACAGCAGAAACAGGGAAGTATGACATCTGTGAGTGGTGGGCTCATTTTACTTCAGGATGTCAAGGGGGAGATCCTTGCCTGCTGTAAATGGTAATCACTATTATGAAGCTGGGACAATGTATGTCAGCTTCACCCAAGCATTTGCTGGTACATGAAAACTGTTTTAAAGAGAAATCATTACATTTAACCAGAGATGAATTAACATTAATTGTTAAAATGACCTGTGAAAACTGGGCAAGGGAGGATTATTTTAAAAAAACAAACAGGAACAACAACAACAAAACCAACAAAACCAAGCAACAACAACAACAACAAAAGAAAAAAAAAAAGACCCACCCTACTTGTTCGTATTTTAAGAAATGTGAATTTTAATTGCTGAAAATGGTACCTCGTGACAGTGGTATTACAAACATGACACAGTGAAGTAAGTATTTGCTATTTGTATATTTCTACTCTTGTGATCAAGCCGTGAGCATTGCAGAAGCACCTTTGGGTCTCAGTGTTACCCAGCTTCTCTAGTAAACTAAGTTACATGAAGCAGCTGAGAAGGTCTTGACACTTTTTGTGGCCACTCAGGAGAATGTTACAATGCTTTCAATGGTTTAATCTGACTAGTTCAGGAAAACCTGCTACGTGCTTTAGCTTTAGGTGGGAACTGAAATTAGGTTCCTAATACCCCTGCCAGCATCTTGATCTGGAGGCTCAACACTTAGTGAAAGATAAATAAATAAAACATAAATACTTCAGTGCAGAATTTCCTAACCTTCTCAATGTCTCATGCATATTGTTTTTTTCCTTTTTTTTTTTTTTTAAACCTGTCTTTACATTCAGAATATGCAACTGGAATTTTGAATGAGTAATAATATTACTATTATATTATTGGATGTACATTTTTATTATTATATTACTGGATGTACAAAGATAAGCAGTTTAAACTTTTGACCTGCTGTATTGTAGACATACCACTGCCATGCACCATTAACAACACCTTGCTAATACAATGTGGAAACAAATAAAAACTCATAACCATCTTTTGTATTTATAAATAGATACATGTGAAACTACTTTAAATACTGATATAATTTAGCATCTTAGCAGTTGCCGTGACAGGGCTTTATTCCTAAGCAAATGGCAGCCAGTTACCACAAGGCTTTATTTTAAGAACAGCAGACATACCAGATGAAGTGTGTGTGTGTATATATATATATGTATGTTACTTGAATATAAACCCATGTTTATACATTAAAAGAAAAATAAGGCCAAAAACCTGCCAACAAAATTACATGAATTTATGACTGATTCTCTTAGTAAAAACAGTACAGCAGAGTTTGGCTCCATAAAGCTTAAAGTGCCCACGTCAGATACAGAATCACCTAATTAGATCAATTATGTTTATTGCAAAATGAGTGCCTTTGCCTAACCAAAACTGCAAACAGGGTTGTATCCATATTGTTCATTTTGCAGCAGACAGAATAAATATACAGTGTATTTGTAAGTGAGTCAGGAATGAAGCCACTGAAAATATAAAATATCATCACATACAAAGTTCCCTTTTTCATCTTAAAAGACCTCCTGTGAAAAGTTTTCCCCTGTACTGTGTGGTTACTGGTTATTTCAGTGGTTTGGGGTATTTTGAAGGCAGATGGTAGGCATACACTGTCTTAGAGTCTGGTGTTTTGAGCAAAGATATTCTTGCATTTTATCCCCTCAGTTTAATGGGTCAAAAACTATATCCTCTTTCTTTTAGCCCAGTGCATGGATCTTGTGTTAAGGAGGGAGATTTAGGTCAGCCTTCAAAGCCAGTGTTTCAGGTTGTGAGCGAGTGGAAGCAAAACCTTGCATTTTTGTAACAGGAGAAAACTAAAATCCTAAGTAAACTAGCAGGTTGTGGGGTGTACAGGTGTGTCTGCTTTTGAAAAAGATTTCATTATGCCTCCCAACACTTTTACAGTATCTGTATATTTCATTTCTATCAGACGTCCTCCTAGATATAACATCCTTATCCCAGACAGATGTGCCCTCCTGAAACAACTGTACTCCTAGAACTGTTCATTGCACTGCTTAAACAAACTCCCATTGTTCTGACATCAACCAGGGCACTGTTGTGCAAGCACCTCTGCTAGACAGTGTTGTCTTTAGCAACAGGACAAGGGAGCTGGCTGCAGAGGGTGAGCAAGGGTCACTGCCTCTTCACCTGGCACAGCTCCAGACATAGCACATCTGTATACAGGCTGGTGCCCTTGATGCAGCATGAGAGGGTGCACTGTATTTATAGATAACATGAGGCAAAGTCAAGCCCTCATCATTCAAATGATCACAAATGACAGTATTACAGGGTGTATCTTCTCCCTCGCCTTCCCCCAGCTTCCCATTCCCTTCTCCCTTTGCTGTACAGCATAGCTGTCATTATCTTAGCAGTTGCTAAGAAAATTACAAGACATAATTATAAGTCTGTAACAGCCAAGAAGGAAGTTTGCCTTCTGCTGAAGACTGGATTTGTTTCTATAGCCACAGTGTGGCATCCTAATTAGCCATCCTACAGAAAATTCACCCTTCTCAATAAGGACTGTCCTCAACAAAGTGAAATCAAGAAATGACATGGATGCTAATACAGAACCAAGTCCTGTAAAGCGTCTTCACTACCACAGTCCTGCCAAGAGCAACTATACCTATTTATAAATAAGCTGCACCAGGACTCAAAGACAGGATGTAAATCATGTTTTTGCATCATGACTTTCAACTTAATTTCAAGTGTTGGCTCAAGAGCAGTCAAATAGCACCATTCTGTTGACTTCTGAGGGGCCTGGAGACAACCCTTCATACTTCATAGTCTTTGTGCCTACACATGTGGTTGCATGAAGCTGGGACACTACAGAAAACTACTGCTGTGGTATTTTAGCCCAAAGGTTGAATGCAAAGTTCTTTTTCTACCTCTTCCAAAAGCAAACCAGACCCTCCAATTCAAAAAATATATATAAATAAAATAAAATAAAATAAAATAAAATAAAATAAAATAAAATAAAATAAAATAAAATAAAATAAAATAAAATAATCAAGCCCCATGCGTGCTTTAGAAGCACAACAAAGAACACTAGCTGAGTTCACTAGCATATGGCACGCAGAGGAATGGCCCAGTTCTCCTTTCTGTGCTAGCAGGAGCTGCTGATCAGACACCCACAGGGTGCCACAGAAGGTATGCTGCTTACATCTCACCTGCAGGCTGCCCCAGGCTTGATCCATCTAGTTTGGTGAAGAAACTATGCTTTAACTTTAATAAGCTCAGCAACAGGTCCTGTTTGCAGAGGAGAGCTGCTAACATGGGCTACTGCCTCCTTAGAGACCCACACAGGAAAGCACCATCTCAAACTGAGATCTGTAAAGCCAAATCTAATTTCCTAAACTGCATCAGTAGTAAAAACCTTCTCAGTAGCTGAGTCCTGGTGAACAGTTTTTAAAACTTTGACAAAAACTTTTAGAAGTCACGTTCCTTATTTAAACCCACGGCACATTTGGTATGGGCTCTCCTCATTGGCGTTATTTGCTCATTAATCATACAATATTTCCTCCCTGCCTCTTCCAATGGGAACACTTTGCTGCAGGTGCTCCCTACAAGAGCCTACACACTTTGACTTCAAGTGCTGCTTTTGTCAAGCACTTAAATAAAGCCTGGTGATGCCAAAGAGCTGGATTCAATAAAGCGAGCTTCTCAGCAAAGCACCCAAGCATGTTCTTAACCTTCAATGCACTGACTTGTGCACAACAAGGTATGAGCTCCAAGTTAAGCAAGGGCTTTGGTACTTCGTGGACTTGGAGCTTAGGAGCCTGGCCATGCACAGCCTGACCAAGCATGCTGGAATGAGAACCAGGCCAAGGAAGAGGTGTAAATACCCCTGTGCCCCTGCACTGGCAGGGTATGACCTCAGGAACAGTGGCAGCGCACTCCCACCACCATGCTGCAGGAACATGCACTTTGTGTTACCCCCTGGACCCTGAAGCCAGGGCTGTGAGAAATGAACCTGAGCTGAGCAGTGCAGGCCGTGCTCATCCTGGCTGAGAGAAAGTCAGTCTGTGGCTACCCCAACACCCTCACCCCATGTGCTACTGTTGGCCAGTGGATGTTATTACAGGGAGATGGAGAAGACATGCTCTGGGACAAGAGCTGCATGGTGGTCAAGATTTCCCACAGACCAACCCAGTCATGGAAATCAGTAGCTGCACAAAACGAGAAACATCCCAGAGGACAAAAGCAAATCAGTGCTCCTGTTGTCCCATGGTTATTTGCCTTTGAAAACTTTGAAAACTGATAAGATCCTTTTTCACAGGAACTAATATAACAGGTCTCCTTCAGAGTTCTGGTGGTTTGCCTACTTCAAGGACTGCTTTACCCAAATGACCTCATCTGTTATAAATAGACCTCAGTGAACGAGTGAAGAGGTTTTTATTTTTCAGTCCTAAGAGCAGAATTTCCTACTGGTAATACCCCTATGATTACTAAAGAATGCTTACATTACAGGTCCTTCTCCACAAGACATTTCTGCAGTGAACTCCTTCCATGATGAAATCTCTGTCTCTACAAAGTTAACAGAACTTGTTTCTTCCTTTGCTCAAATGTCTATCTGCTAGGAGACAACACTTATCAGAATTAAGGTTAGGACTCAGACCTATGGGAAATCTGTGTCTCTGCTATGAAAAAGGAGCAAGTGTTATTCCAAGCTAGCAGGGAAATATCAGTGACAAAGAAGTGTTGTGTACCAGCAGCCCCTTCTTCCATTACAGTATGAGATCAAAAAACATTCAGCAACAGGGATTACTCCTCTGGGAATCCCTGCTGTCTACTTTGTCTGCCAGACGTGCTCATGGGAAACCCACAAGGCAAATACTCTAAATCTGAGTAAATCTGTAATCAGCTACAACTGTCCTCGTAGGTTCAGTCATTTCCCTCAACTGACAATAAAAAATGTTATGTGAAACTGTTGTTTTAAAGTTAGTACATTGATTTTTAGCACCATTCAAACTCTACCTGGTGAATGAATATTATGTTGACAAGATTTGTCTCATTCTTTTGGTGTGGAAATTTTAAAAATTGTTCTACAAGGCAATTAGAAAAAGGGAAATAAAAAAATACCTAAAATATACCAGGATATAGTTATAATAACTATACAAATACATCACAAAATCTGAAGCTTTACACAAGTTGTGCTTTTAAAGAAGCTTTTCTGAAATTAGATCTTTCTGCCCAAATTTCCCAGAATCATAGAATCATTTAGGTTGGAAATGACCTCTAAGATCATCAAATCCAAACACCACCTAACACTGCAAATCCACCGCTAAACCATGTTCATAAGTGCCATGTCCACACCTCTCTTAAATACCTCTCGGTATGGTTACTCCACCATCTTGCTGAGCAGCCCGTTCCATTGCCTGACCACTCTTTTCATAAAAGAATTCTTCCTGACCTCCAGTCTAAACCTCTCCCTGCACAATTTGAATCTGTTTCCTCTTGTCCTATCACTTGTCACTTAAGACATGAGACAAAAACCCACCTTGCTATAACCTCCTTTCAGGTAACTATGGAGAACAATGAGGTTTGTTCAGCCTCCTTTTCTTCAGAATGAACAGCCCCAGTTCCCTCAGACCCTCACGTCTTGTTTTTTAGTCCTTTCATATTCATGAATATTCAACCTGGATAACTCGGCCTAAATCTCTACCTATTGCAGGGTGGCAAATGATAGATTTCACAGCCAAGCTACATATCCCGGCTTGCAATGAAAAGAATTGCCATTTTCTTCCCTGACTGCTTTCCTGCTAATAAAGAAACCTTTTCCACAAGGCATGGATTTGTCCACAGCTGAGATGGATTTTGGAGATTCAGACCAACAACTCAGAGCAGATTGTGTGGAAGTAGATGCATTTATGAAATATGCTTCAGATTTGAGGCCACTAAGTGCTCACCACTAACAGAATATTCATGTAAAGCTCCTGAGAGGTGCTTAGTCACATTAATAGGAATTCATTTATCTATATTGAAAATAAAATAAAGAGTTAACTCATCCTTAGAAAAATACAGAACAACAGTCCTTACCAGGAATCACTGCCGCAAAGATGTATATATACTGACCTTACAAAAAAAAAAAAAGGAGTTTTACTGCTAATTTTGAGAGAGGTCAATTTTCACTCAAATTAATGAATATTAAAAACTCTCTTCCATTAAGCCTTGCATTATATATGGTACACTCATTAAGTTTATTCAAACTCTGTAGTTCCTCTAATTTGAAGCAAAGTCACTGAGGTCTTGAGGTCTTTCACCACTCTCCTTTAAAATATGGCTTTGAACTGATTCAGTTAAAGTTGTACAAAACCTAACATGGACAGTCTTACCTGGGTTTAAGTCTGTTATAGAGTAACTTAAGTTGGTTACCAGTCAAGTGAAACTTCATGATTACAGGGTGGATTTAAATCCAGCTAAGCAGTGTCCATCGAGATTGATTTTTAAAGTACATATTTAAGCAGTTTAAAATTTCCAATGCTGAAATGTTGAAATAGATAAACCTGATACTATTGCATCTCTGTGAGATTATTTTGAAAGGATTAGGGCTTTCAAAAATCCTGATATAAGAAACATTTGTCAATCAGCAGAAAGTTGTGGTTTTCTAAAAAGTTATGCAACAATATTAAGTTTACATTTTATTTTACAAGTATTAACGTGGTTATTTGGAAAAGTCATATAAAAATACTGTTCTGACAGCAGGATATTAAATGTTACACTCAGGTTGCTCCACCTACATTGAATGTAGTGTTTCTAAAACTAGATTGCTGTTCTTCCTGATCTGTTTTGTCAAGGAAAAAAAAAAGCCAGTCATACATCTGAAAGTTCGGAATGAGCATTCGTTTTCACAGGCACAGACATCACAAATCCAAAGCATGCTAATTAATTTCAATGACACAGCTGAAGACAAAAAGCTAAAAACAAGGCAGGAAGTGTAAACAGAGAGGAAAAAAACACAACAAATTACATGAGTGAAAATCTCTTTTTGTGCAAACATTTCAGATTGGTGTTCTGATTGATAGAAGCTATCTACCAAAAAGTGCAGTACATCCAAAAATAAAAAAAAAAATCAGCTGTGGTAGGGACAAAAGCAGTTTTTGCAGCATGACTTAAGACTTCCTCATGTCATTTCATTCCACTTTTGAAATGGTGTCAAAGGAAGGCTACTTGCACATCGAGCAGAACTGCCACTAGCCAGGGATTGCATATTTAACACCAATCGAGACAAAATCAGGTCAGAGCAAGAGCTGTGGTGAAGCGCTGTCCACTGAGGAAAAAGCTTTTTCATCCCCCTTTGAAATGCTCATTAAGGATTGTATGAAACTGCATGGAATGGAAACAATAACACTCGACTGGTCCCAAGACCAGAGCAGCCTCAAATGTGAAGGTAAACGTTGCTTTCAGAACAGCAAAAACCCAAATGAGTCACAGTCATGTCCTGAGCCCAGCTCGACTCTGACCCCCTCCCGACTCTGACCCCCTGGCCTCCTGCAGGTGGGAGCAGAGGCACTGTGAGCAGAGGGGCTCCATGCCTCAGGGAGCACTGGGCGCTGTGGCCCTTGCACCAGCAAACAAGGCCCAGCCACCCTCATGCCTGCAACTCTCAGAACTGAATGCCCGAAGAAAAAGAACCCACTCAGCTTTGCAAGGTAAAGCTATTAGTATGTTCTATACTTGCATGTACCTGTCTGTTCAAGTTCTGGAGATGTCACACAGGAAGGATGCTAAAAATTGCTTAGGTTGTTGCTGTGGGGACTCTTCTATGAGCTTTGATTATGCTAGCAAACTTGACAGGCTCTCATTTTGGGAGACAAAACATTCAGTTGGTCTATTCTGTTCCAAACCAGGTCTGCACCGATTGATTTGGTTGCAAATCACAAGCACAACTCACTGAAACTGTCAACACAGGAAGTACTTATCAAGTCATACATGGCACAGATAATGGCAGTTCAATGTACCTTTTGCTTCTGCTTAGAACAAATAACTCGCAGAATATTCTTGCACAACACACACATTTCAAAACAAGGTATTACAGGTTTCACATACAATGCAAAGCTACGATATGCTACAGTATTTAATGCACACCAATAAGAAAGGTTCCTAAAAAAATAGTCACGCAGTTTTTGTGCCATGGGATAGGTAACAGCTATTTCGTAGAAATAGATCCAACTGGCTCCATTGGAGCAGCAGTATAAATATTCAAAATAGAAGTAATAATAGGCCCTGGATGTGCGACTTTGTTCTTTGTTTTGTTTTGTTTTGTTTTGTTGTTTTCCTTCCCCAAATCTGTCCTTCTGCCAGCAAGGAAACACTGCTTTGGACTGACTGCATCTTGCTACAAAGAGTATAGCTGTGTGTCTGTGGGGTGGATTTTATTGAAATGTGCCACATTGCTGCTAACATTGTTTGATTTAAGGAAGTATTTTAGGCATTTTAGTGGTTATTATTAATCTCATTAACAAAGAAAGAAAGAAACAACAACAAAAAAAGCAACAAGATGGGCTTCCTAACACAGGCACAGTTAGGAGAAGGCTGCTTCAACAACAGGCTGCATAGCTCAACACGTAGCAAGACAACTGTTTTCCAGAATGAAAAATGATGATGCAGACGTGTCATTGACTCTCTTTTCTCTGTCCCTGGGCCCTTCCTTCTTCTTGCCAGGCATCCACAAGCACGCTTTATTCACCAAGGCCAGCAGGGCATGGCTTTTTCCGATGGACTTCCCCAACATGCACAGTGCAACGGCTGCCAAAGCCTCCACACATTTAGTGTAACAAAGAAAGAAAATAAGGTGCAGAGCTGAATAGAAACCACAAGGTGTAAATATTTTGATTTACATCATTTTGTCCAAAGAAAAGTATGCCAAAATAAGCAAGTCCAAAAATGCAAATGAATTGAAAATTGGATGTCTGTAAATAGTATTTTTTTTTTTAGTTGGAGGGTTCTTTCCTACTATGGTTTAGGTATTTTTGTTGTTGGTAGTGGTGCTTTTTTTGCTTGTTTGTTTATTTTTTTGTTTTTTTCTGAGACCTAGGGTTTGTTATACTTTCACTACCAATATTTGCCACTGTTTGTACCATAGACAAAAACATTCACCTAGCTGGTAGTATCTTATCACACTTCGTAGTAGAATTTATACAAGAAAGAAGAAAAACATACCAAATGAATCAGAAGTGATCAGTGCTTAAAGTAAATACAACAGCCAGCACTGGCAAGAATCCACAGTATCAATACATATGAATGTAGTTGTGATAGCATTTCTGATGGGGTGGAATCTGCCTGCATATTAATACAGAATTATACAAAATTTAGCAAGAATACTGGAACAATGAATAGTTAAATTTCCACAATAACTTAAGATCTGTGAGCGAGTCTGCATTGAAGATATTCCACATTTTAAAAGTGCCATCTCTCTCTCCATCTTCCTCCTTCCTAAAGGAGATGTGATGAATCCACATGATTCTTTATAAGTTCAACTGTTTACAAAAAAAGACAAATATGTGGCCAGGTCCAGTGTATTCTTTAAAGAGTGGCAAATTATGACTTCAGTAACTATGTCTGTGCAAAATATGCCTCTTTCCTTTTAAAGAAACCAGTGTCTGTAACTCATTTAGAAAAGTTTTGACACATACTTATGTCCTTCTCAGAACAAATAAGACATAAACTATAGAATCCCCCCTAAACTACAAGAAGTCTGATGAAGCAAATAAAGTTCTGACCTTCCATGTCCAGGTGTAGATCACTAAAAAACAGGACGCCTCCTTGGTAGCCCTCCTGGGCTGGCAATCAAGCTATTGCTTGGAAATACCATAAACACCCTATTAATAAAACACCAACATTAATAGTAAAATGGTAGCAGTGTTTATCCTTTGAATCCACATTTACCTCACATTCCTCATCATACCTGTACAGGACTCATTATTTATGGTAAAGAGTCTGTCTGTTGCCTTGACAGTCTGCTTTTAATAAACAGTAAGTCCACTCATATGCTGAATTAAATTCCCGTATTACACTGCCCTGTGACTTTTGGATTGTTATAGAAGACCCAAAGCTCAGAAGGAGAAGCTGAAAGAGAGGACATTGATCTCAGGCAATAAAAAATCACAACCAAAACAAACAACAACAACAAAAAAAGGGAAAAAAAAGCAACCAAAAAATCCCAGAATTCTCATTGAAAATCAGCCCCAATACGGTGTACCCTCTTCAGCATTGTAGCAATAGTCTTAAGTCATAAATTAGATTAGTCTTCCATCAAATAACTTAAAAAGGAATTGTAGCAGACCAGTTTTGCCTGGCTTGATGCCAGTTAGCAGCCAGTTCACCTAGAGTCCCAGTCACTGTTCAAAAACTGAGCTAGGAAATTACATGAATGTTGAAAAAAAATAATCTTCACATCAATGCAGGATTCTTCCAGGTTGTGGGGTTCAGGGAGAAGGTAAACTGAGATGGGGCTACAGGTCCTATGAACAGTGAACAGGATATACTTCACGACTTGGAGGTGCACCGCATTCAGGAGATGCCAGCCGTGGTTTGTATTGCACAGGTAAGAAGGAAGTTCCTCCTGACAGTCTGCCACCTGCATTAGTGATCTCTGCACATTGGCAAGTTCACAAAAGTGAAAACATTGAATTCTGTCATGATGGAGAAACACAGGAAGATGCCATAAAGGGAAAGGCACACACACCCTAGCTTCTTATCCAGTTTCCATTTGTTCATGTGGACGCCAAAAACCTAAAATAAACACAGAGTAAGCCACCACAGCAGGATAATTTTGAATAAAGTGGTAAATCCCGTTCTCAATTACAGGAGCATGAAAATGACTGTCCCCACACTGAACAAGATCAACTGGAAGCAATCACAATGTAAGTTAACTGCAAAAAGTAAGCTGAAGAAAATCTGAGTAGCTCCCCCGCAGTCACTGGAGCCACACTGACTTGCACCATGTTGATTGCTGGCCCAATGGCCTTATGTTTCTGCACTTTGGCAAGAACAATCCCATTTAATTCGACAGAAGTGCCTTCAAGGGCTAAATTCCCTTCTCCTCATTTGAAATACTTCAAGTGCCTCTCTGTATCTCAATCTAGAGCTGAACAGGCTAAGGCTGTGCCTGAATTTGTTTGGTTTACTAGAACACAAACCTCTTGTAGTTTACGCCTTGTGTCCATGGGAACTGTGCTGGTGTGCAATATGGAGGGCTGCTTCCCTATAGCAGCTGGTCTTAGGAGTTCGAAGATGTCACAAGGGTCTGCTAATCCTCTTCTCTTTATCGGTTCTAATCTACTTTTATGCTGGACTTGGACAGGTCAGGCAATGTAATCCACCAATTTCAATAAATGTTGTCACATCCAGGCAATACTTGTTCTGGCCTGTGTTGCATCTCTGAAAGTTTTCACACAGGGCCAAAGCAAACCGTACAATATTTTGTGTAGCTGTTCAACAGGAAAATGGATCTTGTTATGCATCGAAGGATCTGCTTCAACACTACCATGAAAAATGATTAGTGATTGCTAGTGGACCTCCCAGGGGTTATCCCATGGGAAGTACGCAAATATAAGAGCCATCTTGTGACAGTGATAGCTTCTGTCAAAAGCCAGACTAAGGTCTTGAAAAGTTTACAATAGGAGTGATCATTCCTATCTCTTAACAGACTTGAAATTGCTATTGCACCTAGAGATGAGAAAAGAACAAATGAAGGAAATGTCTATAAAATCACTCTTTTGGAAATGAAGAACAAAAGACTATATACATACTGTGACAAAAACAGATGCCAGCAAGAGACCAACAGAATAGATAAGTCCTCTGCTGTTTAACCGAATCTGGAAGAGAAGGAAGTTTATAAAACTTTGTCACAATTTCAAGCAACAATATTTCTCTCTGATGATGATTCTATAATCCTAAATTGCTGAATTGCTAAACACTGCTAAACAAGCTGTTAAAGCTAACTCAGACCATTACATTGCAGATTTTTTTTTTGCCAACTCTCTATTGCCAAAGAAGAAAATATTACTAAAGAGCAGTGTGATTAGGACCTGGTAGCATTTCAAACTGTTCCACTGCCACACACGCTTTGTCTCCCTCATATGGTTACGTCACAAAAATAAATTGTCTTTTTGCCAATTAACTCCTGTTTAAGTCATGTAAGAACAAGTGGGGGAAAGGAATTTTTTCATTCAGTCATCAGCTAGTGCTTCACAGTGGGGGAAAAAAGCAAGGTCATGCACAAACATTTAATTTCTTCCCCACTCTCACTCACCTCGGTGAAGGATGCAAGTCAGCCACCTCAAGACCTGAGCCTCAGCTGCTGAAGATCATCATGCACTGTAGCACAAAGCCACAGGCCAAAGGTTACTTAGTGCTAAGGCAATTAAGGCAGAGAGATCAGGTCCTCAAAACTGTGGAGCTATTTACCTGCCATTTTTAAGGTGTGCATTCTAAACTAAGGCACTCACCTGCATCTTTAAGCCCTAGATATGTTTAAACGCATGACTTTATATGACACAAACCTACAACTATGAATTAAAGCTACAGGGAGTAAGGCCACCTCTCCTACCCCATTCCCCATCTAGGATCATGTTTGTCCTCCATTTCCCTTTCTTCTCTTTGAAACTTGACCTCCATCCCTCTGGGCATTCCTGTTATTATCTCCAGTAGTATCGCTGGCAGCCTCCTCAAGGGAGCTCTCAGGGGAGTCTCTCAGGGCACTGCTTCAGGGGCTGCCTCCTAGGGAGGGCCGGCTTCTCCAACAGGCAGCAGGGAGGCTGTGTGCTGCCGGCTGAGCAGTGCGGCTGGCTGAATTTTAAACCTGCAGACCACCAAGTATCAACCATTATCTTGAGGCTGTTGTCAGGTAATGCAGCCTGATGTGCTTCTCCCCACTCATTCCATGCAACAAAGCCACATGTGAAGCTGAGTTTCAACTGACAGTTACCATAACTGATTCCAACAGACCATTTCTGTTCACTTAAGTTTCCTGGCTAGAGATCAGTCTTAGCTAGAAATGGTGTATGAGTTATTTTCCTAAGGTGCTTTAGATAAGGACATTGCTATTGTTTGTCTAGGAGTTCTTGAAGTTTAGTGCTGGTATATTTTCAGTCAAACCACCCTGTGGCTGAGGTCGATCAACAAAGCTAAGCGCAGAAATCTTCCTTAAACAGGCTGGTGGCCAATTCTTAATTGGTCATCTTATTCTACATCTGTATATAAGGAAAAGCAAAAGCCTCAGTCTATTCCTGCAAATGATCTGCAGACGAGAAAAGAGTTCCGAGAATGAAAGTTCATCCACCTCAAACACATTTTTCTTCCTAACAGATGGATTTCTGTCTCATTCTTGAAACTGTTTTAGTCCAATAAACAATTCAAACTAGAATTTTATGCTACATTATTTTCTCAAAAGTCAACACAGAGAATAAGAGTACACAGTGTTATCACTGGCCACTTCTCAGTGCTGGCATCCTTTCAGTCAGACTGCTACCACAGTTATTTGCAAGAGAAGCATGGATTGCTAATGTAATAATAAGCAGCACTACAATTTCCTGAATGACATTGTACAAGACTACTAAGGCACTCATATAATTTTGCCTCACCGTCAGGAGAAACTGTTCACCTGGTGAGCTAAATATTACTTCCAAATCCTAAGGAATTATTTAGCTTCATTCCCCAAATGCAACTGAGGGGAGAATCTGACTTCCAGAGTCAAGGAAAGAATTATTGGTCCTGGCATTTTGCAAACCTGTGCCTGCAATGAACTTCATACACTTTCCTGAAGGTCCATACTGGAGACAGGGGCAAGCATGCTGCAAAAAGGCAGTTCTGGGAGGACTTCCCTCTTTACCTCTACATGCTTGAGATTCAGCATGACGAAGCATTGCTGTACTTCTAATACACCACGATAATCATGGATTTATCCTGTACAACCACTATACACTGGAATTGTTAGAGCATTTGTACTCCCAAGAATCCCACAAACTTGCCGAGATATGTTACTTGCTTAGATTTGCTGTTATTTTTTGCACATGAAAATACTGGCTTAAACAAATAGAACATTTTGCTTCACTGATTTTTGCCATAATATAAACAGCAACAGCCACAAAGACCATTTGTTCTTAAAGGTATTGCAGTGCGTCTTCAAGTCATAAGCTCTAAGTGTATGTATGCTCAGAGGAACCATTACATTCACATGGTCATTACATGAAACATACATACAATATTCTCACTAGACTGACCGTCCAAAGAAATCAAAGATTTGGATGGCTTCAAAACATGAAGGCCAATTTTGGCAGTAACTACCTAACTGAAGGTGAAAAATGTAATGATCCTACTGATAATGTAAATTGCAGGCTGTATGTGGCAGACAGGAAGAAGCCTATTTTTGTAGCTATGGAAGAAGTCTCTAAGGCAATAGAAGTTGCAGCTTCTATTACCAGTTCCATGCAAAACTCAAAGCTTTGCTGAAATAAGATCTGTTCTTGAGATGAGACATACATCACATTCTGACCCAGAAGACCTTTTTGTTTGATACCCTATAGTATAAATCCTTTAACACTAAGGAGCCACAGAGCCCCAAACATATCTGCTGCCTGCACTTCATCCACTCCCATGCATCCACTCCTTTCCTCCTGCTTCCACTAATATGAATGGTCCATACAGGACACCTAACCTGAATTTCCATTTTAGTTATTCTAAAGTCAAAAAGAAAAAAAAAAAGAAAAAAAAAAAAAAGATGTCAATTAAATTCACTTCGTATAACTAAAAGAAAAATTTAAACCCAGCTCCCCTCTACCCCAAATAAACTGCAGCTGGCCAGAAAAGACGGATGCTATTTTACAATAAATTCCTGTCTGGATTTTGGTCAGAAATTTAGTTTGACTAGGACCAGTATCTGTAAAAACTGTCAGTATGCAATACATCAGTCGGAAAGGAATCTACAGGAAAAGGAAGCAAATGAAGCAGCTGGGATTATTTTAGAATAAAAAATGTCTGAAATCAACCTAAAGTGCAGACATCACTTCTCAATTACATCACTATCCTCCATAAAAAGAACAGGCATTTGGAAAGACAGTTAGAAAGGCCTGTGTCTATAGTTTGCTGAAGACAGTGCTTCCAAAGATGTTTAGGGCTGCTTTCTTTGGATTATCTGCAAGGCCATTCTTTGGAGGTCTTTCACAGGAATAGGAGTTGCTGTTAAGGATTATTCAAAATTAGAAAGTGTATGCTAATTATGTATGACAGGTTTATGAATGTACCAGTAACACGTGTCATGCTGGCACCATGAAGGCAAAGCAAATGCAGCAACCCCGTGTGGAATTGCACTGCAAGACTTTAGTTTTGCTGCAGGTTAAGTTTTCAGCCCCTTCTTTACTTAACTAGCAATACTCCTGGCCTGGGATCAAGCCCAGCTCTCACTGTTGGCCAAAAGCATTAGCTATTAATTAACGTAAATTACAACTTTCCTTTATGAGGCTTAACTAGTCCTACAGAAATAAAGTATTTCATGTGAGGAGTGAAAGGATGTTTTCTAATGCAGTTTTCACTTTCTGCAGGGCAAAAATCAGACAATTTATTAAGATCATTGCCTTTTTTCAGATTACCTCACTCTGCCACTGGACAGCAGAATTAAAACCCTTCCACATACATAGTAGAGGGTGGTTTCCTTGGGGGGAAAAATGCTAGCCGTGGAATGTGCTTTGACAGGAGGTTCATTTGGCTGAAATAGATACATATCACAGCTGTACTTTCTGGAAGAAAAAGTGCAACTCTTTGGGTACGAAACCTTGTTGGTGAGCTCACAGGGTGATAAAAGCTGTGCAGAATTCCAGTTGCTTCTGCAGTGGCTTAAGGGGTAGTGCACACATGGCATCTCCCTGCTATGCCATGGAACAGGCAGAAAGGGGACATAAGAAGACAGACAGCAGGTGATACAGGTTATAAAGCAATGAAAAATGAATGAACAACAGCAGAAAGATAGCTGGAGCAAACTGACAGTGATAAAAGGGCCTGTCCTCACAGCAGATTTGCCCTGGGAGGGCTGTGAGATGGTATCCATGGATGGGCGCTGGGTGCAACTCCAGATGCGCTGGACTTGCAGTACACGTATGGCACAGTGCTACTTTCTGAACATACAAATGTCCAATTAATCTGGCTTGCCACCTGTGTGCAGAGCACCTGTGGGTAGTTAGGGTCTGGCGGCCGGAAGATGTCGTGCTGTACGGAAAGGTAGAGCCCCTCCCTTGATGGGCAGTAGCGCATGGTCTGTGATGTAAGCAAGAGGAAGTGACGCTATGGGCCTCGGGTATATAACCCCATGGGACTCAACAATAAACACCATCTGCCATCCACCACATTGGTGTCTGTGAGCTGATGGACCGAGCGGCCTGGGGTTGGTCGCCGTGCCGTTCCTGCACCAGGTCGCCACTGCACCCTGAAAGGAAACAGCACCTCTGCATGGTGTGTGCAGAGAATCCAACAGCATATGGTTCAGTAGGTCTGACCTCACTGGACTTTGGCACATGTAGAGATGGCAGAATTCAGGCACCGTGCCCAGGGGCTCTTGCTTTATTTAAGGCAGCCCTGGAAGCTGATTCACACCAGTACCATAGAATGGTTAGAATCATAGAATGGTTTGGGTTGGAAGGGACCTTAAAAATCATCTAATACCAACCCCAAACCTCCCTCAAAGTAGATACAATTCCTGTTTAAGCTTGTTGCTGTAAAGGTTTCTTGGAGCAATACTGTGTTTTGAGATTCTTGCAGACTTTATAGCACATACAGAGAATGAAAGCTGTCTGGGTCTGATCAAGTCCAACGTGAAATGATAGTC